AATGTAAATGACGATAAAATAAATGACGGAAAAATAAATGACGAGAATATAAATAGCGGAAAATAAATGACGGAATGTAAAAGACAAGAATGTAAATGACGATAAAATAAATGACGGAAAATAAAAGACAAGAAAGTAAATAAAGAAAAAGATGAAGAACTTCAAAGCTTTAAATGAAGAACACCCTTGGAGAGGGTTTACAACAAGAAAAAGAAAAGGAAGAAAAGTTGGGAGGAAGAAAAGGGATGGAGGATTAGAGTATCCAATGGATGATGGATTAAAGTATATCAAAGAAGGTAACTCTAGCCTCCTATTTATACCCAAAATGGGCACTAAAAGACAAAATAACTAAGCTTGGAGGCTAAGTTACCAACAACTAGTTACATTACAACAAAAGTTTAACTAGCAAGTACAACTCCTTAACCAAAGTCTAACTAGAAAGTACATAAGCCTAACTAAAGAGTACATCTGATTTTTCCACTAAAAATCCAGCAATTTCCAGCTATCTTCCATCTTCAAAAAGTCAGCGTCTTGTTCATTAAGCCCTCCAAAAAGTCGTGTAAGACTCAGGTCAACGCTGTACCAATGCTGTAGCATTTGCTGTTTTCACAAAAACTCCCAATTAGCATCATTTACACAAACCATCAAGTCAACCACAACATTTAGCTTCATAATAACAAAAGTATAAAGAAATAAATGAAAAGGACTTAAAGTGGGAATGAAAAGAAATTATTATAACTATAAAGACCTAAAAAGAGCGCGTTATGTGTTAAATTCTCAACGCATATCATACCCCCAAACTTGAACCGTTGCTTGTCCCCAAGCAACCAAAGGACAAATATAAAGACTCAATATAAACTAAAATGCATGATCAAGGCAATTAAGTGCCTTTCCAAAGAGAGTTATAGCATCATGATGTTCATAGCCTTTCATAAATCTAAGAAGTGTCACTCAAAACTAAGTTCTTTGTGTGAACCATAGGCTAGCATTCCCTTTTCTTTGTTAAGTTCAAACACAATCACCATTTTAGGATCAATAGGGCTTAAAGGGGTTTTCTTTCATTGGCGTATCTTTTCTCTCATAGCCTTTTTCCTTTTATACTCCACATATAAAATTTTCAAATTTTTGGGCACTTTGGCCTCTTTTGCTTGGAGTGTGCACATAGCCATATGGGACTTTTGTTGTGCCTTTTCATAACATTTTCTAAAACACATAGCACCTATGGGACTTTTGTTGTACCTTTTCATAACATTTTTTTAAAACACATAGCTTTTCATAACATTTTCTAAAACACATAGCACCTATGGGACTTTTGTTGTGTTTTCAATACCCTTTGTGTGATAAGGAGTCAATTTAGAGCTTTGCCCTTTTGTATTGACTTTGTATCCTTGTGTAAACTCCTCCCCCAAACTTGAATATGACAATGTCCTCATTGGCGTTATGTGGGGTAAATGGTGTTTAAAGGGTGCAAGTGGCTAATATGAGCATAGAAAAGATGGCCTATCTCATTTCCTAATGGTGATTGTGTGATCAAAGAGTTTTCCAAAAAAGGTTTTTGCTAGTTCTAGTAAAAAAACAAAGTACCATGATCAAATGACAAACAATCACTAAAATTATTCGGGCTATGATCTCATGTGTTAACAGTTCTCAAGTGAAATGATCATGCGTAAAAATAAGACTATAAATTATAAAAAAAAACTATTCCCGACTCAAAAAATTAAAATATGAAGCTAAAGTAGGGTGATAGAACCTGTCCTACTCCGAARGAGTAGGCTGTGTGCTCCGGGCAGCCACGGATGCAATTTGTGTCCTCAGTCTTTCTGTTTCTGTCTTGTATCGGTTCAACTTTTTCTGCATCTTCTTTATCTTGTCAGCTACCCCATTCTCCAAGCTTTCTTTCATCTTCTCAAACCGCTTCTTCATTTTCCTCTCATTTGCTTTCAACCTGCTCGTCAATTCAGTTTGCATGGTCTCTCACCTCTCTACCATCTCGGTCCGCTACTCTATCAAGAAATCCATTATACTTCCACTTTGCTCTAAGAGCTCTTCCATAGCTTTAGTCATATCCGGCACTTCCCTGCCTCTCTCACTCCTCTCTCGCAGTCTTGAAATAGCCTTCATATCTATTGTCCATTTCTCCTCACACTCCTTAACGATCAAGTCATCGGTGTATTCCGGAACCCCCACTTTTATAAGTAACTCTTTTCCACAACATCCCCCATATTGATCGTTTTACCTGTAACCACACAGTACAACAGAATGATCCTCTCAACCGAAATGGAGCTATCGTGAGTAGTCGGGTTGAGAGAATACCGAATGAAATTCATCCAAACATTGGCATCAGGCTTTAAATTTGAAGCCCTATAGGTCCGTAACATGTAGTTACTGTGGGTATTCCATCCCGATCCGACCTTCCCAAGTTCACTACCGATTTCCTCCAGTTGGGCAAATGAGGCCGATTGTGAGAGCCTCTCAAAATCTGTCTCGGTTGGGGGTGAAAGGCCCAAAAGCTTATTAAAAGTCTTGGCCGAAATGCTCACCCGAACACCCCGAACCTTGATCTTAGTGGTGCTAAAAACACAAGCCTCGGCGTAAAATTCTCTAATTAAAGATAAATTAAAAGAACTCTTTACCTCGCATAGTGTCTACCATCCCTGCCTATTGATTACATCGCGGATGAAACTAAATTCCTCGAAACTCCTCCTGTCGAACCCTTTATCCGACAATATCTTCTTGTTCTTAATCTTTGCATATTTCAATTGTGCGACCTCAGTGCTAAACCCATTAAACTGCATCTGTGGCCTAGGAATGGGCCGAATGTTTGACATGCTACGTGTGGCTCGCACCCGAGAAGGTCCGGTTATATCTTCTTGCCTAACCGTGGCCGTGCGAGGTGATTTTCGAGGTGCAAAGGCAATGTGTCTAAGCTGGACAGATGGTGGTGTTTGTCTTGGCCTCTTTTTGAGAGGCTGACTATGCACGACCTTTGATCTTGTAGCAAAAATCCGTCCCAACCCCTTCCTCTTTCTAGAAGGAATTGGGGTCATATTCCGTACTTCGGCTTCCAAATCAGGCTCTACATCAGCCTCTACAACATGCTCACTGTGTGGTGTACTAATGTCCTCTTATGTACTAATGTTCTCTTCCCTATCATTCAATTCAATGTCCTCAAGCCCAACCGATTCATCCTCAACAGTGTGGGGAATGGGATCGGCCAAAACAGTGGGCATTTGTGTGCAGGGGTGATCATACCATGTAAGAAAGTACATTTTTGGTGGACTCAACACAGTGGAGGGAGAGCATGGTGGAATAAAAAGCTCATCCTCAGAAGAATCGGAGGTCGTTACGCCCTCAATCAGTTCATTAGGGCTTGAAATAGGATTTACCTCACTGCCCAACTTAGGGCTTGAAACTGTTGGTGGCGATGATGGTGGCGATGATGGTGGCGAGGCATTGATGTCGATCATCCTTGATGGTAGAGACGGTGGCTCAACAGTGGAAGGTGGAGGAGGCGGAGGCGGAGGCGGCGATGGAGGTCGGCGCAGCGTGCGTCTCGCTCGCGGAGGTGAGCAGTCGGCGATGAGCGGAGTGACGATATGAGGTCTTGGCGGCGACGGTGATGAGGGAGGAGACGACGAAGACGACCCTGTGGCGACGAGGTCGACCATCTCCGGTTCTCTAGTCGGTCGCAAGGCAGTGGTGCAAGCCCGCCGACGGTTATTCACCGGACCGGCTGTGGTGGGTTTCGAACAGCGGTTCGTTTCATACGGGCCATGGTTTCGAGTAGAGAGGAAAGATGAGTGGAAACAGTGGGTGATTTAGAGAGTGATTTAGAGGTTTATGAGATGGGTGATGGAGTGGGTTAGTAATTGTAAGTTTGGGTAATGGAGATGGTGAGTTTGAAAGAAAGAAAACCGGCGGGTGATGGGTGGATGAGGCAGGCGGCTTCCTTGATTGACAAAGGTGGTTATGGGGAAGAGAAAAAGTCACCTCTCCCTTAAGCTTTCTAATCACTTATGCTTAAAGGGGGTTATCAAGGGGTCAAAAATTTAATTGTGATGGAGTGGGTTAGGGGAGCATGGGGAACACAATCTGTAAAAAAAGGGCTGACAAAGACTGTAGTGATGTAAGGATGAGGTCACTGTGTACTCTCCTGACTTCCTACAAAGATGCTGAAAATTTTCACATGTGAGCCTCAGAATGCTGCAGCATTGGCAGAACATCAATCTTCCCCTGAAAGATTCTTTGCAAACTATCTACACAAGACCAAACTTTATAAAACATAAAAGCTTTAAAACATAAAAGAAAAGAGGGAAAGTATTTACAAACAGATTTGGACTTGAAAAAGTCCAAAAACACCTTCAATCCTAAGGTATAGCCCAATTCTCAGAGCAATGCTCTGGGAATGCTACAGAATCATGAAATACCTTAACTCGCTGCCCATTCACTTTAAACACCGTGTTGTCCTCCGGATTAATGAGGTCAACCGCTCCATAAGGGTAAATTTTATGAATAACAAAGGGTCCGGACCACCTAAACTTGAGCTTTTCCGGGAATAGTTTCAACCTAGAGTTAAACAAAAGGACCTTTTGTCCTTCTTTCAACTCCCGGTGTTGAATCCTATTATCATGCCATTTCTTTATCTTTTCTTTATAAAGTTTAGCATTTTCATAAGACATTTGTCTTTGCTCTTCCATTTCACAAAGTTGAAACTTTCTTTTCTTTCCGGCTTCATCCAAAGACATATTGAGCTCTTTGATAGCCCAATATGCTTTGTGCTCAAGTTCTAAGGGCAAATGACATGCTTTTCCGTAGACAAGCTTATATGGAGACATACCAATTGGTATTTTGACAGCGGTTCGGTATGCCCACAAAGCATCGTCTAATTTGAATGCCCAGTCCTTCCGATTGGGCTTGACCACTTTTTCCAAAATGCTTTTGATTTCCCTATTAGAGAGCTCTGCCAAACCATTAGTTTGAGGGTGATAGGTTGTGGCAATTCTGTGGTTAACATTGTATTTTTCAAGGACTCCTTTTAACAAATTATTCACAAAGTAGGTACCCTCATCACTAATTAGTGCCCTAGGGGTACCGAACCGTGTGAAAATATGTTTTTGGAGGAACTTAACCACAGTTTTTGCGTCATTTGACACACATGCCATAGCCTCCACCCATTTGGAAACGTAGTCAACAGCCACAAGTATATATTGGCAATTATTTGATGGAGGGAAAGGACCCATGAAGTCTATTCCCTAAACATCAAATAATTCAACTTCAAGTATCCCATTTAATGGCATTTTATTCCTTTTGGAAATGGAGCCACTCCGTTGACACTCGTTGCACCTTTGTGCAAAGTTGTGGGAATCTTTAAAAATGGTTGGCCAATAAAACCCGGACTGTAAAACTTTGGTTGCAGTTCTTTGGCCTCCGAAATGGCCTCCGTATGGGGCATGATGGCAATGCTGCAGGATTACTGCCACTTCAGTTTCGGGCACGCATCTTCTCAAAATCTGATCTGCACCAAGTCTAAACAAAAATGGGTCATCCCA